AGGGCTTGCAACATCCAAGCATAAGGAGACAATCGTTTTCACCCATGTTTCATCTGTGCACAGTCCTGAACAAGTCAAAAGCCACTTGCCAAACTCATGTTTAGGACATGCATCTGAAAATGTGTCAAGATTTGTGGATGAACCTGCCAATTTTGGCTTCTCGTTTTTCCAACCAACTTGCCCCATTTCCACAACCATTTGGTTTCTTCCCCTACCCCCTTTCAGAAGTCCACATTTTGCACACATTTCTCCTATTATGTGTGTGTGGGGGGGGGGTTGTATGCTAGTTTGCAAGCAATTCCCATAACTTGCACAAACGTATGCATTTTTGAGGAGGGTAGCGCACGGCATCTTAACATCCAGAAAAATATGGATTTTGGTCCATGTATTGCTTCAAGAAGGAGAAAGTAAGACTGAACGGATTTCTCCCCCATCACTATTTACAGGCCAGTTGCCAATGTTCATTTTAGGAACATGTGGCAGGGAAAGGAACATGAATGGAAAGCACCTGCATGATGAACAATGGGATACCTTGACTTAATTTGAGCAAGAGCTCATTAACTCTCCTTTCTCAGTTCTCAGTCCCTCTTCTGATATTTAGAACACCTGAAGACATAGCAACGACGAGTCTGGTGTGTGTGTGTGTGTGTGTGTGTGTGTGTGTGTTTAAGGGGCAGGTGAATCTTTGCAGATGTTCAGAATTCATTTTGCTCACCAATAAGCAAACAGCAGACCCTTTGCATGCATCTGTTTAATAATTGCTCATTTTATCTTATTTATCAGTGACCTTTCAGAGTTGCCCCTCTCAAACAGACAACAAAAATGCAGGGGTAGAGGGAAGAATATCAAAGTCCAAATAGCATGGCTTCCATAGCTCCACAGTCTTTCAAACAAAGAAGAACAGGGAAATCAAATTGGACCATCTTCTAGATATATGAGGCTCTTGGGCAGGACAGCCAATCTAGGTTTTGCTGCCTGAGGCAAAGAACAAGATTGCACCCCTCCTTTCCAAGTACAGAAGCTAGATGGACTTATACTCCCAACTCTGGCAATGGCATAGCATCTTCTCCACTGTACCTGAGGGTAGCAGGCTAGCTTATGGGATGCATGGCCCTTGATGTTAAAAAAAGGTAAAGGCAAAGAACCCCTGGATGGTTAAGTGCAGTCAAATTCAACTATGGGGTGTGGTGCTCATCTCGCTTTCAGGCTGAGGGGGCCGGCGTTTGTCCACAGACAGCTTTCCAGGTCATGTGGCCAGCATGACTAAACCGCTTCTGGTGCAATGGGACACCGTGATGGAAACCAGAGTGCATGGAAATGCTGTTTACCTTCCTGCCGCAGTGGGACCTATTTATCTACTTGCACTGGTGTGCTTTTGAACTGCTAGGTTGGCAGGAGAGCTAAGACAGAACAATGGGAGCTCACTCTGTCGCGTGGATTCAAACCGCCAACCTTCTGATCGGCAAGCCCAAGACGCTCAGTGGTTTAGGCCATAGCAACACCTGCATCCCACCTGTGAGGCACACACACACCTCTAATCTCCAGCAGGAGGGAATGGCCATTGTAAAGTTGTGAAGATTGGCTGTGGGAGCTGCCTCTGCTGACCTTAGAACCTGTTGTTGGAGGTATTTGCCTCATGCTGCCTAATAGTAGAGCCGGTCCTGTTAGCCAGTAAGGGAGGAAGGACTAAGGTCACACACAAAGAGAGCTTTTCTCTGGACAGCAAGTCAATACACATGCCATATTAAAAACAAACTCTAGTTTGGCAAATAATGAAGAGTTGAAGGCAAAATACCCCCTTTGGTAATTTTTCATAACAGTATCTGTACCACCAACCATGCGCAGTCCAGCCCACCGCTCCCCCAAGAGCAAATTGGTGCTGCAGCGAGTTGCCCTGGACCCAACCTTGCTTCCTGCATCTTCCATTTTTCTAATGTAGTATAATGGCGCTATGATCAGCAATTAACCCCAGATGTTTTCCATAAATGCAAAACTGTTGTCCGCAGCATTTCTGTCAAAACTGGCAGAGGACCAAAGCTTCACACAAAGTCTAGAAAAATAAAATAAAATTAGGAACGACACCCCACAAAAATGAAATGAAATGAAAGCCTAGTATTTTACGGAAAAGCTGCACAGCACATAGAAAGAGGCAAATGAGCGAGGGGAAAGCAGCCTTCTAAGAAAATAACACTTTCCATAGATTTCTCCCAGGGGGGAGTTTTCATTCGGTGAAGGATACAAAGCTTGGCTGCGTGGATTTCATGACCTTGAGGCAAACCCTGAGCCATTGATTTCAAAAGGAGATACTATACACTGCTTTTTAGCTTTTATGTGTCAAGTCTTTGCACTGCATTTTTAAAAAAAAGGAATATTGATTTCTCCCTTTATGAATCCCATTTACTAATAATGTCGGGGGGGGGCGCTGTGCTGGGCGCCCTCTCAAAACTTCCAAAGTCTGTGTGGGAGCTCACCAGGGACATTTGCTGTGTTGTTGTTGATGATGTTGATATTATCATCACCATCATTATTATTATTGCCTGCTATCTGTTGTGCTGTTGATGGTTTTCTTTTTATCACAGTTTGCTCATATATATATCTGGAGCAAAGTGGTGTTTTTCTGTGAATCCATGGTGAGTCAGGTGAGAAGAGGGTGCCTTTGTCCAGGAATGAAAGGCCTTTGAACCTGCGCAAAGAGCCTGAATTTGAGATGGGAGCTGTGTCCATCTTTTCCAACATGAGAGGTAGAACTTTGCTTTGAGGGGGGGGGATGCAGAAAAGGAAGACGGTCACTACTAACAAGAACCTAACGCTCAAAGCCACAGGCAGCAGGCCTCATCCTGATCATTGCTGATTTACACCGCTCAAAACCAAACTGAAGTCTTTCGTAGCCAGTTCTTGATAGCAGTGATTCTCAATAGCTTTACACTATCTCCTACTGTTATCTCTTTGAATACACAAAAATTTTCCTCCTCCTTCTCTCCCAATCAGCAGAGAGCACTGTAGCCTTTGGAAGACTATCCAGTTAATTGTGGCTTGTGCGTTGTCTCCCACAGAAAAGAGGCTACTTCAAAGCTAAGATGTTACCCAACTTAAAAACACAGATAGGGGGAAAAATGTTTTATTTACATTTCTCTGCCATTTCTTGAGTCATATGAGCAAATCAAGCGATACTCGTGTTTGCAAGATGTTCTGCACATGAGGTGCATGTGTGTGTATTTAAGGATTTACCTCTCTCACTGGTGAGCTACCAAGTATATTTTAATAACCAAATTGAAGAAGTACCTAATAAAGGAGAATGCTACTGTTGGCACCTAGACAGGAAACTGAGAAGGCACAATCAGTCTTTCCTGCTATTGTGAGATGGATTGTATTTCTATTTAACCTATAGAAATTTAAAATCTGCACTGATACGTTTTTATTAGCACCTGCAAAATTCATGCAAATCTGTATCCACAATGCACATGGAGGTAAAAGGTAAAGGATCCCTGGACCGTTAAGTCCAGTCAAAGGCGACTCTGGGGTTGCGGCACTCATCTCGCTTTCAGGCCGAGGAAGCTGGCGTTTGTCCACAGACAGCTTTCCGGGTCATGTGGCCAGCAGGACTAAACCGCTTCTGGCGCAACGGGACACCATAATGGAAACCAGAGCGCATGGAAACGCCGTTTACCTTCCCACCGCAGCAGTACCTATTTATCTACTTGCACTGGCATGTTTTCGAACTGCTAGGTTGGCAGGAGCTGGGACAGAGCAAGGGGAGCTCACTCCGTCACAGGGATTCGAACCGCCAACCTTCTGATCGGCAAGCCCAAGAGGCTCAGTGGTTTAGACCACAGCGTCACCCTCATAATTCTCTCCCTCTGCCAAAATGAAACACATGTGTACAAGCCTGACATTGTTCTGTGCAAGGTCTCTGTATCCTTTCCCATGATACCCAAAGCTGGAGATGCAAGATTTTTGCTACATCTGATGGTAAATTCTATACACATCATCAGAACCACACCCTCACTTCTACAAATTTCTCAGAGGCAGCTCTAGTGTTTTGACATGCTCTAACTGGGACTTAGCAAGCAGACTTTTCCACTCATAATCCCTGTTATTTGCAATTTTGTGAGAACACAACAGCAGATTTTCATAAATAGCTTGAAGATACCATTGAGGACGGAAACACAAAGGTTTACTAATAGCGATAAAGGAACAATCACTGCCAAAGACCCTGTCATTACATTCTATGGAGGTGGCCACTGAAATTATGGGTACCATCGAGAGAACACTTAACATTTTGCTATTGTCAAAGCATTTAATTGCATCCTCAAAAACTATTCAGTCCTCGGTATTTAATCATGCCACAATCTCCTGGTGATTTGCAATAGGAAGAATCAGGCAAAATTATTTAGCCACTTATTTCTTAAGCCATGTTATGATTACAGACATGTGCAATAACCAGGAGAGGTTATTATGGGCTACCAAGTGTTTTTCAAGCAATCTTTTGCAGTGTGACAGTTCTGAAGGTGTTGTCCATGACTCTTGCCATTTTCCTCGCAGCCGGACAGAAATTTCCAGATATGAGCTGTAGCCTGGAGGTAGAGCACACCTTTTGCATGCAGAAGGTTTCAGGTTCAATCCCGACACTTCCAGTTAAAAAGAAAAAAGAAATTAAGAAGCAAATAAACGGAATGGCTTCTGTGTCCCAGGGGGGCTGCTACTAGTCTGAATATGACTTGAGGGACAAACAGTCTAGACTTGTACAAGGCAGAAACCATAATCTCTGCTTCTGCACATGCATAGGTAACGGTAAGGCTGCCTTTTCTTTTCTTTTTGCCTGAATATTTAAAAACCGCAAAGCTGTTATCGCATAGCAATTACAAACACAAACTGAGTAAGCCCCTCATTTAAGACTCAGCCACAAATTCACTTGATGGACTAGGTAAGCCATTTTTTCTACATGTATAGGTCTGGCTCTCATGACATGCTAAGCCAAGCACCCCCAAACTCGGCCCTCCAGCTGTTTTGGGACTACAACTCCCATCAGCCCTACCTATCAGGACCAGTGGTCAGGGATGATGGGAATTCTAGTCCCAAAGCAGCTGGAGGGCCAGATTTGGGGATGCCTGTGCTAAGCCAAATGTTGGCTTAGTAAGACAATGAGCATGTATAGGCTCCCAGGAAAGAGCTCACGACCATTTTACTCCTCTTCGGTCCTTTTTGCTGCTGCAGTCATACACTCCAACATTTCTCTGATGAAAATAGGGACATCCTATTCATATAGGGACATCCTATTCAATTTTATTATTTATACCCCACCCATTTGACTGGGTTGCGCCAGCCCCTCTGGGCGGCTTCCAACATATATAAAAACATAATAATACATTAAACATTAAAAAAAACAACCTTTCCATACAGGGCTGCCTTCAGATATAAAGTTGTTTAGTTACTTATCTCCTTGGCTCAAGAGTCGCATAACTCCATACCCTCCAACATTTCTCTGATGAAAATAGAGATGTCCTATTTGGGACATTCTGGGATCAAATCAGAAACCAGGACAGCTTCTGTAAATCCAGGAATGTCCCTGGAAAATAGGGACATTTGGAGGGTCTGACAGCACCAAGCTGAGCAAAGATAAGGTTTAGCCAAACCAGGGCTTGTGATTAAGCACTCTCCTCACAAACCATGGGCTATAACCAGTACTATTTTTCTAGAAAAAGAGGTGCCGGAACTCACCATAAATGCCTCCCTTGTTCTCTTATAATGGCAATGGCGCCCACCTGAGAGGTGTTACAGAGCTAACCAAGAACAAGTGTTGGCTGCAGCTTGTGATTAGCGAAGAAAGAGCCTTATGAACCCCGGTTTGGAAAACTTTCTGAGGCAAATATTGACTTGGGTTAGCAAAAGAACCCAGGGAGGAGCAGAGACAGTAAGCACACTTCCATGGACTCACTAACCCAAGGCATGAACCAGGCCCTAATATGGGAACAATACGGACCTAGAGTAAAGGATATTACTTGCTGAGCTACTATATGAAGTACCCAGGAACAGCATCTTACAATTACTCAGTTACTTCAACTTTCACTACAGGCAACAGGCTTTCCATGTGCTATATTCCACCATGCAGTAAATGTATATAAATCTGGCATTCCACAACATGCGGTAATCTGAAACTACCTCAAAGGACTGGCTGGGACTGAAATAGCTGCTTCAGCTCATATGAAGGCTTGATCTAGCCCAGTAGGACTTTTGCTCCCCACTTTTTAAACAAGTGAGTTCATTGCCATGCCGTATATGGGAAAACTGCTTCTAAACTCCTTGTTTTCAAACCACCCCTTATTCTTTTTCATGTACAAGGTACTTTGTGAATGGCCCCATGGATTTTGAATGGGGGCATGCATTGCTGGCAATTCCCTGGGACATCAGTCCTCCAGGCAGAAAAGGAACGAAAGCAGGAAAAGGAGGCACAGGAAGGTGGAATCAGCTGCCATGCATAATTGCTCCCATCCAAGACCTGTTGCCACTCTGCTTATATCCCAGAGCATTCTCCAAAGCATTGGGACGTTCAGCAACTGTGGCAGATGGAGAGAGAGGCAATGTTGGTGGCTCCTATTCATACTTCTCTCACTTTTGTTACAGTGACTCCCTTTCCTTCATTTCCCACAAAACAAAAAGAAGCCAGGTTCCAAATTTGCTTTTGGTTACCCCAAACTCACAACACCTGTTTTTATTCTCATTCTTTGTAGTATTTGTTGTTGTTTTTCACTTTCAAGCTCTTTTGCTTCTATTAAATCTAGTCTCCGGTATCAGGCTTCAGGCCCAGAGACCGACAACACCTATTTTTATAAGATCAATGAATGCTTGCCTTTTTTATAGGAGTGTCTGCTATTGCAAGGTTTAATATAAACATGCCACATGTAATTATTTGCAAATTTTACCTTTCCTTCCTTCCTTCCTTCCTTCCTTCCTTCCTTCCTTCCTTCCTTCCTTCTCTCTCTTTCTTTTTCTTTTTTTCTTAAAAAGGGCAACCCTTCAGTAAAAGTATCAGAGTGGCATACAACAAAATATTAAGGACAGCAATATGAAACCACAGTTAAAATGAATACAAAGGAAGGAGAGAGAGAGAGAGAGAGAGAGAGCGCTCAGAACCTATTATGGGGAATGTTCAAGCCATTGTTTTTCTTGCCTCAAAGAGACTTCACCATGACCAGAAGTTCAAAAATTCCTAATCTAAGATACTGGCCAATTTTCACTTTAGAAAAAGCTGTCCTATAAAGGCTGCATGAAGCTTGACTCATTTCCCTAAATGCTGCGCGATGTCTACTGTAGTGAAGATCACTGGCAAAAAGGAGAATTTCTATGAGCACATACACTTTGATGTCAAATCATCAGAGCATGCTTTTTCTTAAATGCAATTCTCTTAGACTTTTAGGCACAATTCCACCAGACATACAAGTTTTTCAATTAATTTTGAATCAGAAAAAGGCTGGCCCCCCCCAGGTACTGTATATTGCATCCCTTAAAAGTAAAGCCAATTTCCTTTGCATCTCATAACATTAGTCTTATGATAAAAATCTGAAACTGTGGTTCTTCATTCTTTCAAGAACTTGGGGGGAAACGCTTTCAGAGCCTTGAGGCATGGGCATAGCCAGGGGGCAGCTGCCCCCCTAAATCAAGTAAATAAATAAAGATACTTAACTGACCAATCAAATCACAACACAGATAGCTCGGTTCTGCTGCCCCCCCCCAAAACCCCCCATAAATACTGGCTAACCACAAGAGGCAAGACTTATGGCTACAAGGATTAATGCCTCCTTCATAGTGAGACCTACCTCCCCCACCCCAGACTTTGCAAGTGTCCCTATTTTCCAGGGACAGTCCCAGATTTACAGAAAGCACCCCAGTTTCTGATATGATCCCGGAATGTCCCGCTTTTCCTTAGGACGTCCCTGTTTTCATTGGAGAAGTTTTGGAGGTTATGGGAGGACATCCCTATTTATTTATTTATTTATTTATTTATTTATTTAAAAAAACAATAAATATGTTTTGCTACATTTTGTTCAGGCCTCCATTTCCAATCTACTAGGCACTGTGGGAGACCTGCTAACCCCAGATGTACTGACATTTATTTACTTTTAATTTTAAATACAGGGAGCTTGAAAGAAGCCCTGATGTGTCCTTGGGCTTTCCTTTATTGCAACCCGATTAGCTTCACTGCTAGGTGATAAACTATCATAAATGTATCTTGCATTAAAGAATAGATGCTCCCTCTGTGGCTTTTCCCTTCATGATAAATGCATTATGAAATTGAAAGGCTCTTCTCAAAGATAGAAGGCCATGAGCAGCAAGACTTTGATCCGGAGTTTTGTTAAGAACTCTTGACACAAATGAAAGGTCTGTAACTTGGATAAGAAGTATCTTATCCTTCCTCCAACCCGATAATAAGATACAGTAGTTTCATTTTGCAAACACACAATAAAACTAGTCTTGAGACAGCAGGCACTATAAAGGCTGAGCCTGTTGATTCAAGTGTCTTCCCAGCTGCCACAATGGGGAACATAGGCCCAAGCCCTGCTAAATTTTGGCTCTTGCGTTGCCAGAGTAGGTCACAGGGTGACGACTGTGGTTAGCCACTGTATATGTTAAGGGTTATTAATGCTTTAGTCAAAATGGAAAAGGAAAAAAAATAAGTAGAACCAAAGAAAACAGGCTGTGGCTTTCTTTGGCCACAAATTTGTTTGGCTTTAAATAAACCAGATTGATTCCATAGCCCTTAAAGCAACCAACATTCCCGCAGACAGGTGCTAATGATGTATCAGATTTGTACCTGAGGCATATACATTGAATTATACCTGTTTGAATACTGTTACCCACTCTGAACAACTCAGACCTCCAAGTATGCCTTTTCCAGGGACAGTCCTGGATTTACAGAAGCCTTCCCAGTTTCTGATTTAATCCTGGAATGTCCCGCTTTTCCTTAGGACGTCCCTATTTTCATCAGAGAAATGTTGGAGAGGGTATGGAGTTATGCAACCCTCAAGCCAAGGAGATCAGTAACCATACAACTTCAGAACCATACAAATTCAGAAGACATCTGAAGGCAGCCCTGTATGGGGAAGTTTCTTAATGTTTAATGTTTTATTACTTTTTAATATGTCGCCCAGAGTGGCTGGGGCAACCCAGTCACTTAATCTGGACCTGGGCTTCTAAGGTTTCTATCTTACTTTCCAACCAGCGACATGTTGGCTCATTTGTTCGACCTGGTGCTTTTTATTTGAGTTATCTGCTCTCAGCAACTGTAGTTAATGTGTAGTGCGCCATGCTTAATGACATCACCAGGGACACAAAGTGTGTACACACACACACACACACAGAGAGAGAGAGAGAGAGAGAGAGAGAGAGAGAGAGAGAGATTTCACACACACATTTCTGAAAGGGCAAGATTTAATCCCAGAACCAAGATGCACATCAAACTTATTTGTTAAAAAGGCTGTCACATAAAATAGCTGTTGAACTGCATTCAACTCTGGATCCCGTTGCTATTCAAGAGGAGCTGTGCAATTAAATCCTGCCAAGCATATTTCCCACCAACCTACCTGCTTTTTAAAAAGTTAGCTCTTTCCTCCATTACATGCAATTACAACCAGTAAGGCTGTGGACCGGAGGGTCTTTGTCAGTTAAAGCACCAGGGAATTTCCATTGTGCTTTATCTAAAGTGTAAGCTAATAAGCAAGACTAGCTACAGAATGCATCCCGTAGCTGCAAGTTGATTTGATTATATATTGCACAGAGGGAATGCAATGACTTTATCACAAAAGTTCCCTTACAATCTGTGAAACAGCAAGCCAGTAACCCGAAGGTTACCTTGACTATACATCTTTTGTATGTATGAGAAAACAGGAAGTCAGCATGTGAACATTTTCAGAAGAGCCATGAGTCTGATGCAGGAGGAATTGCGCTGGTTAGTAGTTGCTCACTGGGTTCTCTTGAAGGGCAGAAGTTTTATACTACTTTTTTGTCTTAAAAGCATATGGAATATCTGAGACAATCACTGAAGAACCAATCCACTCACCCTATATCTAATCTAATCTTATCTATCATCTA